TGTGTCCACAATGTCCCGGGCTCAGGCGATCCTCCTACCTCAGCCTCCCAAGTAGCTGGGACTATAGGTGTGTGCTACCATGCTCAGGTAATTTTCGTATCTTTTGTAGAGATGGGGGAATCCCTATGTTGCCCAGGCTGGTCTTGAACTCCTGGGCTCAAAAGATCTGCCCGCCTTGGCCTTCCAAAATGCCGGGATTACAGGCATGAGCCACCATGCCTGGCCAAAACAAGATACTTTATAGCAGGAAAGCAAAAGCTGAAAAAGCAGTGAGCTTCTGGGAAGTAATTTTTTTATCTTTCATGAAGGATAAAGTCGTATAAACTAAAGGGGAAATACTACACAATTATTATTAGCCAGAAAGGAGGAAATTTGGATCTTCAAAAACCCCTATTAATGAAGCGAACAATCTCAGCTCTCACAAAACAGCCTGTCAATGCCTCATTATCTCATTAGTGAATGTCAAGCTCCTGTTACCTTACAGAAACACATGCATTTTCTTCAGCTCAAAGACCATCAGTAATTAAGTAGCACTAGCCTATGACATATTAAATGGTAGACTTCCCCAGAGCATGATTTATCTATGAGAACGCATCACATCTTTTCTCTAAAGCCTAAGTTATAAGCCTTTAAGAATTGCAAGGATCCAAATTATTAACAGGAATAATCCATTTTGCTTTGAAGAAAAGCAAAACTGGGTACTTCAATCTAAGAGCAAATAGAAAACAAACATGAGGCCCGGCGCGGTGGCTCACGCCTGTAATTCCAGCACTTTGGGAGGCCGAGGTGGGCAGATCATGAGGTCAGGAGATCGAGACCATCCTGGCGAACACAGTGAAATCCCGTCTCTACTAAAAATAGAAAAAATTAGCCGGGCATGGTGGTGCGCGCCTGTAGTCCCAGCTACTTGGAGGCTGAGGCAGGAGAATGGCGTGAACCCAGGAGGCGGAGCTTGCAGTGAGCCGAGATTGCATCACTGCACTCCAGCCTGTGCGACAAAGCCAGACTCCGTCTCAAAAAAACAAAAAAAACAAAAAAAAAAAACAAACATGATGGTGTAGGTTGCCCAGAAGTGTCTAATTTTCTATGCTGTAGAGCTCAGTTTTTATAAAACTTTTCCCATTTCTACTCCCATAAATGTTTAGTTTATAAAACACTTGTCAGTTCTAGAGCATTAAATCGTAAAGCAAAAACATCTTTTTGAACACATTTTTAACAATCTAAAGAATTTTTCAAGTCCCTAGTTAAAACAGGTTACACCCTAGACTAGTAGAACTAGCCCCAGCTCTGTCTGTTATCTCATTAAGTGATTCCCTGTACCTCAATTTCCTCGTCTAGAAAATAAGGCAGTTGTACTGGGTAAATTCAGTCCCTTCCAGCTCTAACTTTCAATTCTAAGATTTCAATTAACTAAGAAAATTACTGTCTTGTTAAAGCTCAACACGTAGTATTTCTAAACTCACCACAGAAATGTAAGAAAATCAGGGAACTCAAGCAGACTTTCCCCCCAGATTTACCAAAACTGCAAGAGGCAGGAAATATGGTTGCCTATTTGTTACCCTCACTTATGTAAGAATCAGTCTAAATGGAATGAGAACTTGGTAACAAAAGTAAACAATTTATAAACCCACATATATATGCCAAAAGAACTAGAAGTGGCCAGGTGCGGTGGCTCACGCCTGTAATCCCAGCACTTTGGGAAGCCAAGGCAGGTGGATCAAGAAGTCAGGAGTTCGGGACCTGCCTGGCCAACATGATGAAACCCCACCTCTACTAAAAAAAATACAAAAAATCAGTAGGCATGGTGGCGTGCGCCTGTAATCCCAGCTACTCGGGAGGCTGAGGCAGGAGAATTGCTTGAACCCGGGAGGCAGAGGTTGCAGTGAGCCAAGATCATACCACTGCACTCCAGCCTGGGAGACAGGCAAGACTCAATCCCAAAAAAAGAAAACGGAAAAAAAAAAAAAGAAAGAACTAGAAGTTGCGTGATATTATTTGGTGACATTGAACTATTTTCCATATTTGTATAATTGTGCCAGAATATAAAAATGTCTGTATATCCTTTTACTGTGCTTTATTAAAGATCAGCTCCATACAACGGAATTTAAAATGTTACAGTTGGCCGGGCGCGGTGGCTCAAGCCTGTAATCCCAGCACTTTGGGAGGCCGAGACGGGTGGATCATTAGGTCAGGAGATCGAGACCATCCTGGCTAACCCGGTGAAACCCCGTCTCCACTAAAAAATACAAAAAACTAGCCGGGCGAGGTGGCGGGCGCCTGTAGTCCCAGCTACTCGGGAGGCTGAGCCAGGAGAATGGCGTAA